TAGGTCTCTTCCAGCTGACATGACTCTATGATTGAGTCCAACTAACCTAACAATGTCAAGTCCACCATTAAACTATGTCACTAAGCACCACATCTACGTGTCTTTCAAAAACAAACAGGGATCGTGACTCCATCACTTTCCTAGGCAGCCTCTTCCAATGCTTGACAACTGTTTTGGTAAGGATTTTTTTCCTAATGTCCAAACTAAACCTCCCCTGGCGCAACTTAGCAACTTAGAGTATTGCTACTTGCTCTGCTGTAAAAGGTGTCCTTCAGCAAAGAGTGTCATCTAGGCACATACAGCATTGGACAAAGCAGAGCTGACAGAATACTTACAATTGTCACTGCCATGCAGACTCTTATTTGTTAAGTCCAATAGTTAGAATGCTCACTGAAAAATCCATCATGTTCTAGGGACTAAAGATTTCCAGGCTTTAAGTCCAGTCAGAATGCTGCTCTAGGTAACGTTCAATGCAAGAGTTTACAGAACTCCTTAATCTCTCTTCCCTGTTCAGATTAACCTATTGTTTGTACATATGCCTGCGAGAAGCCAGCCTGCAGTTCTCTTAATTCCCTAGCCTGCATTCAGGATGACTGCATTTGATTTCACTGACAGTGTAAGCCTCCAAATCTAATACACTTACCACATACGTTAGAAAACAGAATGCTGAAAGTGGCTCACAGGTGGGAAAATGACAATGGCTCACCAGGTATCCCTGAAATCCATGGCGTAACAGTGGTGGACATATGGTTAAGCTGCATCAACAGCATCTACTGGCTCATTTCTCTGAGTTACCCAGCAGCCACTTTGTAACACAGCCATGCTGGAAATCAGGCAACAGAGTTGGGCCCAGTTATCTGCCCTATGACTTGTTCAACAGCCACAAGTTGACAGGAGGGCTGGTACAGTTTTTCCAGCGGGATCTCACTCCATTTGTTATTGCAATCTTCAGGCTGTGAAGGAAACTGTATTTATATGCTGTCATTTAATTTCTCCTGAAAGACTGGAGTTGCAAAAAAAATCACCCCACAACCAACCACAAACAAAAAAAAAATCTAAAAACCTCAACACTTCACATTTAATCTGTGCATGATATTGTTTTCAATATAGTGGATATGTCCTTGGAAAATATGAGTGAGTGCTGCGAGAGCACATGCGAACTGTAACAAAAAGCATCCTGCCCTTCCCTTATAACGATATATTTTTTTCCCCCAACATTTATTATAGAGCTGGCAGACAACCTGATGTATAGCTAACCTTCAGGTGAGAGGGGTGTTTTTTGTAGTTCTCCTGGTTTTAGCTAAAAACGCCAATTCTGTTCAGTGAATTTTACTTTCCAGTTTAGCGTCTTCTAAAAGGCTGCACCTTCTGAAGTCAGCAGCATGTTTTTGCAGACAGTGTGTGCTACCAGCAGTGATAACATCTGATGTTTGCAGTCACTGCCTGGGACTGGGATGCGGAAAGGCTCTTGGTTATTCTTAGTCCTGTAGTGCCCAAGGCCACTGCTGGCTCTTGTGTGCCACGCTGGGGGTGCCGGGCAGTGAGAGGGGTCACAAGGAAGTAAAAGGTTGCACCTCCGGGGGGTAACAGACAGGACAGGTGACCAACGAGACTATTCCATCCCATATACGTCATATTTAGTATAAACTGAGTGATCACGAGAGTTTCTGCTGTTTTTCCTTCTTTCCCCTTTTCTGCAATGGCCAGTGTCCAGGTAGGGCTCTGTCCAATCTCCCGCTTTTGATCCGGATCCTGAGTTCCCAAATCCAGCTCCCTTTATCCAGCTCCCACCGCCGCTGAGCCTGGGGCTGCCCCAGTCCTGTTGGCTCTGCAGCATCAGTGGGGATTGCTGGGAGGGGTGGGGAGGAGAGAGTCGGGTTCGATATCAGGCTAATATATATAGTTGTATATAGTTCTTTATTTTTATCATTTCACTATTATTTCCATTATTTGTTTCATTAAAGCTGTTCTAGTGTTTCCTTCCTAATCTGTAAGTCTCTCTCTGCCTCATTCCGTTTTCCTTCCCATTTGGGGAGGGGTAAGAGAGGGTTAGAGAGCATCTGTCCGCATTTAGTGGCCAGCCCAGACCTAATCCGTGACACTAGTTTTCCTCCAAAAGAGGAAGGATGCATCTGTAGGGTGTACATCTGTACAGGATGGCACGTGATTCAGCATAATGGTTTTGCAAAATTAAGTCTGTGTAAATCTGTAGCCAGCAAGCAGTTTTGACAGTTACCACCTCAAAGCACATCAGAGTAACAAGACAGCAAACCAGAGAAAGGAATCTTCTTGTTCCACTCAAGAACACTTTTATTGAAACAAGAAACCTCAATGAAACCTCTCAGTAAACAAATATTAAATTCACATTTTACATATGAAAATATTTTAAAATAACCATCCAGAGATTATTATTTTCAATGGTTGCGACTTGGATCATTTCCATCCACCATCCACAGCAATCAAAAAACGAGTTTTTTGGGTAATCCTGAAAAGCGTAAATCATATTGTTACTAAAGGGGTCCATCCCTCTCTTCAAGGTTTTAGTACTCATTTGATAACATTGTTGATGCGTATCTACTCTGGGCTGCTTAATGCAATGAATCTATGAAAGGGTGCTAGAGTCAAAGCTCATTTGAATCAGTATATATACACTCCAAATGACTTCAAACTCTGTAATTAAATGTTAATTGCATTTGGGATACATGTAAATATTTCTATTTGTTGGTATAAAAAGCTAGCCTTTTATATTAAATTCTACTTTCAAACCCAAGAAAGGCAAGGTATTCTAAGGCACACATACACTCAGTGATTTTTCTACATGCTGTCACTGCCCAGCAATAAGCTGGCTGCAAGACGTAATAGCCCTTTTAGTCTCTGCCTCATTCTTTAACCATGCTTTTGTTTAGTATCAGCAGCAGTACTTTTCTTATTCTATTCCAGATCATATTCTCTCATTTCTTCATACACTACTTATTTAAAACATAGGCAGAATGAACCATAGTTGCATTCTGGAACAGATATGAAGCCCACTGTGAAAGAATTCAACTGTTTCTGCCTGCCCTACAGGCAGAGGTATCCCCTAAAATAAACTGTCATGGAATCTTTAAACAAATGCCCAAACAACACAAATTCCTAAACTCAGTTAAGAATAGATTGGCTGAGGATTTTTTGCAAACCAACGTAGGATAGTTCTGAAAAAATAGATAAATTCCTTATACTGCATTAACTCGGGAAAAAGCTCAGTGCTGCACTTTCTGTACTCCGTCTTGCAAACCTATAGCTCTGTAGAAACACAAATTAATAGGACTAGAAATTGGTATCCTAGGGAAGGAGCGGTGCTTTTGATTGTTTGCCGGAGTGGAGAAGATGGACAAAGGTGTCATTGTAGCACCAGTGTCTCCACATACCTCACTGGTCAGAAATAAGTGGTAGTAATAGCTAGGAATAATGCATGCTTAACACTTCCCACAGACTGTCATCCCTCTAGTGACAGTATTCTCCTGGCAATAAAGAGGCTGTTTGTTGAGAGGTACAGCTGCTGCAAATTTAAGCTTGGTGAACATGCCCTACAGGTTACAGGGTTTTGTTCTTGTGGAAAAGCAGAGCTTATGGGGATGGCATAAACTCTTTCTTCCAGCAGACAGCACTCAGTGCCAACATTTTATAGCAGGGTACCCACCAGTCATCAGTGAGTCCATTTTCCTAAGCTGAGGAGTGCTCCCTCAACAGGGCTAAAGGAAAGAGAATGTACTGTGCAGGATGCACAGCCTGAGAATTTCAGTGGGTGCAACTTATTTTTCTTTTAAATCACTTTTGCACATTTCCATCCTCAACAGCAATAAAAACATGCTGTATTTCAAATTTTATTTAAATACTGAAAAATGTCTTTCCAAATCAATATTCAGATCTTAACTTTGGGAGGTATCACCATGTAAGAATGTCAAATGAAACTGAGGTTAGATTTGCTAGCTCCAACATTGACTCTCTCCTTTAGTGGTACTAAGAGGATCTACCTTTTGGACCTTCTGATTCTGTCAGTACAGCTAAGAAAGTAACAGAATGGAAAAGCCATATCAGAAAATCCATTATGTCTTCATTTCCACTTAGTGGAAATTATACTGGTTTTTATATACTGATACTCAAAAAGTAACGCTGACTTCCTAAATACCTTAGTTACAGCCAATCTCAAAACTCCTGGCATTTAATACACAAGTTTGATTTCCTCCTGCTGAAGACGAGATTTTCACAGAGATGGGAAAGCAATTAGTGTTCTATCCTGATAAAGCTCTGGGAAGTCTGCTCACTGTCAAACACAAGACTTCAAATGGTTAATTCACAGAACTTAAGGAAGCATTCTTTCCTCTTTGCTTTCCTTTAGTTAACAGGCATATTTTAGGGCATGTAGTCCAAAACACTAATCAGAGACCCTCACATGGTCCTTGCATAAGTAGCTAAAAAGCTTAATTACCTAAGCTGCAGTAACCTGACAAGTTGCCACGTTAGTTGACCCACAGTACTGGCATTAGCAAAGAGCATGCAGATAGCGAACCGATTAGATTTTTTCATTAAAATTCGAATCTCAAACTAGTGAACTAATCCATTTTAATTTTTACATGGACTGAGAAACAGCAAGTCAAGTGCCTAAAATGAAGTTAAACTCTAGTAATATAACTGTCTCTCTGAATTCAAGAGGAAATATACTTTCACAGAAGCATCTCCATTCCAAAAAAGATACCACTCTTGTAGCAAAACAGTTTCATACTGGCAATAGCAAAAAGCTGATGCGAACCTGACAGCTGCTCTCTAGCATATTCTAGGTATTAAGAATAACAACTCCAAGTTTAAGAACCTGTATTTACCTCTCTACTAGAAGGTTTGGGTCCTCAAAGCTTTAGTCTTCAGTCTGAAGCTCTTCAGCCCTCACAGCTTTTGTTGCCATGGATACTAAGTACATGCTATTGTTTGAAGAAGGCTGGGAGCTCCATACAGAAGTGTTAGGGAATGGGCTTGTCTTTTAAAACAGTCACAGAAACGTGCTTAATATTCTTTAGCTAAACAGTTAACTTGCATAGTCTAAGAGGGGAAAAAGCAGAAAACCTCTCTTCTAAACCAGACTTGCATTCTCCACTCTGTCATTTGAAAGAGCAACATGCTAGGTGTCTCCCTCTCTCACCTCTTTTTTTGGTCTTAAGTGTTGTAAAGTTATTTCCACCTCTGTAAGATATCTCAAAAAAATGCCTGTAATTTACGAAGTACTACCACTCCATTGCACGTCAATAGAATTAAGTATTTCTTCTAACAATTAGATTCCTACATACAATAGAGAGCCTTTTTTGTGCCTATTCTGTTAGAACACAGAACTAAGTTATTCTCACCCTAAAGTGTTTATCTCAAATCACAAATCATTAAAGGGCTTCAGCTGGTGCTGGCACCCAGGAATGTAGTTCGTTCAGAGAGCTTTTGTTCTGAAACACTGGAGTACTATATATTCTTTCTGAGCGTGTAGCTCCTATTTTAAACCAGGTGAAACATTAAGCAGTTACCTTGATCTATTCCATCTGTTCTTTTCCTTTTTAAGTTTCTACGTGGATTCTGTTGCTCCTTTACAGCTTCTGCATGACAGTTTGGTCTTGGCAGTCGATTTCCTGGAGTGGGTCCTGGTCGGTTACTGAAATACTTCTGTTTCAATGCCTTAATGATAAGGGAAGAAAAATAACAAAGCAAATCAGTATAAAGTGTCAGAACACTGCCTATAAGAAGGTTATAATGAAATAAAGCACATGCACTTCAAAACTACCTGTACGCTTTTATACCAGAAGGTGACCTTGGGGAAAATCAAGATTTTGTGTTGTCAACGACTACCTACAGCAATTTTATTTGTAATCCATCAGAAAATTGTGTTCTATTGTTTTTAACTAGCACTCAGACATCCTAACAAAACTCTAGAGTACACTGCAAAAAGTCTTGCACAAACAGAAAATTTCTGCCTCTGAAAAGCTTACTTTCTGAATACACAGATAAGAAAAGGAGATAAAGAACAAAGTAGGAATAAAAAAAGATTAAAAGAATATATCTAAAGTCTTCATCAGATCCAAGATACCAGATGTTTTACTAGATTAAGATAGGTCTTTCCCTGAAATTTCTTTAACTGTGCTGTTTCTATGCTGTAAACTGAGAGAAAAAACATAGTTTGAATTACAGCAGAAGACAAACAGAAGTGAGTACATTAATTTCATGTAGTGGAATTACAGACTACTTTAAATTTTAAGAATTCCACAGCCTCCATAAGGCTAAGGAAAAGAGGCTAAGCTGTCTCTCAGGTAATCACTATTTTTGCTAAAGTCAGTTACATGGTATTCAATGCCAGCTAAAAATCAAGCCAATACAGTAAGTGCAAACTGTTTCCTGCCTTAAACTGTAGCATTGTTAATAAAAATGCTAAACTCAAAAAGTCACATATATTCAAGTCACCGTCCTACAATCTGACCCGCAAAATGACTTCATACACCTGAACTAGTACCAAGCTGTCCCAAGCACAGCAAAACTAATTATTTGGAAACTTTTTTTGGTTACCATCTTCAAGAATTTCCAACATAAACTGAATGTGATCTGAAAAAGTCTAGTAAAAAGATACGTAACGCAGGCACTAAGCCCACGGACCAGTATCTGCCTTGTCTAACAAGTAATGAGGGAGTCATGACTTATACTGGAAAGCTGTGTTTTCTGCATGCCTCCTCAGTTTTGAAACTGCCAAGTCTTCCTCATAGCAGAAATTAATATTCTAAACTAGAATGTTCTGCAACGTTTTTATTCAAAATCTTTCATTTCTCCCCATCAAGGAGTAGTGAAATTGAGTTTAGTTTCACCCAAATATAATGGAAAAGAGATATTCAGAATTATTTAAATCACCACAGAATTTCATGTTAAAAAAATAAATCAAAAAGCTTAAATGGAACTGGAAACTGAATGAAGTAAGGATGAAAAACTTTCAAACACAGGGACTAAGATATGCTATGTTAAGACTTAAGTTCCAAGCTTTTGGTGACTGAATTTTGAAAGTCAAATATAATGACTGACTGAACACCAGGACACATACCTTTTAGTTGTCGACCTTTGCTCTACATTGGGAAAGGAAGTGATCAGTCAAGCCTTTCAGAGTTCTCTTTATAAAACACTGGAAATATGTTTCTAGTATTTCATAGACATACCTGCACGACATTTCCTTTCAAACCTGACTTACTGGCTCCAAAGCACATTTATCCAATATTAGCAGCAGCTTAATAAACATTACGACATAATGAAAGTGTACTATACCTGTGTAGCTGTAAGCCTAGTGCAAGGATTAAATGTGAATAAGCCTTGCAGAAGATTGAGCAAATCATCACCAGCAGCACTGAAGATATGCTGAAGGGGCATTCCAGGGAAAGACTTAAATGTAACATAATCTGGAAGACTTGTCATCCCCTACAAAGACCAGAAATGTTTGTTTCTCAAGTTAGAAAGAGCTCAGCTTTTCAGATTAAGTAAACTTCATACGGTATCTTTCAGCAGAATCAAGTTATTTTTCACACCACTTTGCTTATACTTGGTCCCTGAAATAAAATAAATGTAGGAGTAGTAGGTAAAGGCCATTTTTTAAAAAAAAATACTCATTACAGTTATTTCACACTTTCCCTTTCCAAGTGATCTATCCTTCCCTTGCTTTAGTGGTGACCAGTCTAAAAAGGAAAACCTGCTAACAAAGAATATATTAAAACAACTTTAGAATGGGTGCAGACAAACGAAGTAAAATTTGTTCTTTTGCTTACTGACACAGTGGAAGAGACAAGATTTACTAAAGAGCCAGTCTGCATTTTCTCCAGGTTAATAACACACTGTGTCCCCCTCAAAGTTAGCTGATCATCGTAAGTGTTTTGAGCTCCTTCTGAAATGCACAACTGAAACTTTTTAGCTAGGGAGTGGGGGGAGGGAAGTAAAAGTGACAAGCAGTTAAACAACACATGAATTGCATATTTTTTTTCTCCTGTCGGTATGAAATCAATCCCATTGTATTCAAATTCTATAATAAAAGTTATCTTGTAACAGACAATCATCCAATCACAGTATTTTAATAATATTTTACGCAGTTACTCCTTCAGTCATCACAGTTCAGTAAGTTTACCCAAGCAAAATAAAAATCTTAACACTGAAGAGAAAAATGTGCTCCATCAGTTATAATCTTAGAATCAAAGAATGTGATGGGTTGGAAGAGACCTTAAAGATCATCTATTTCAATTCCCCTTGTTATAAGCAGGGACATCTTTAACTAAATCAGGTTGCTTAGACTACCGTCAAGCCCAACCTGAATATCTCCAGGGATGGGGCCTCCACAACCTTCTTGGGCAATGTGTTCTTGTGTCTCAGCACCCTCCCAGTAAAAAAATCCATTAGTCCTAACACCTAATCTAAATCTGCCTTGCTTCAGTATAAAGTCATTTCCCCTTGTGCTATCACTACAGGCCCTTGTAAACAGTCCCTCCTCAGCTTTCCCGTAGCCCCCTTCAGGTACTGGAAGGCTGCCATAAGGTCTCTCCTGAGCCTTCTCTTCTCCAGGATGAACAACCCCAGGTCCGTGTCCTTCCTGTGTCCAGCTCTGGAGACCCCAACACAGCACTGCAAGTGGGGTCCCACCAAAGCAGAGCAGAGCAGAGCAGAGGGGCAGAATCACCTCTCTTGATGTGCTGGCCACACTTCTTGATGCAGCCCAGGATTCGATTGGCCTTCTGGGTTGCAAGTGTATGCATTGTTGGCTCATGTCTACTTCATCAGCTAGAGCCTGGAATGCCCAGCCTTGCAGTACCCAAACTTATTAGAGGGCCAACTAACACCATGAGGGGCTGGTCAGAAGGCACTAGTCACTCTGAGGTGCTGCGGAGCGAGGATGCAGCTTCTATGAACTTCCAGTCTAGTGCTAGATGTCACCACCAATGATAAATCGTGTTTGTGTTGCCTCATTGATATAGGTGCTTAAATTTCTGGCAACAATAGGTCACACACTGGAGGGGACCAATTCCCTCATACTCCAGTAATCTACAGGTTCACAGGACCCCCATGGCTATTCATGTAATCACAGGCAAGTATGACTTCCCTATTAGACGTATGGCCCAAGGATCTGCAGTTCTGGGAGATTCTGATGTCTTTGATACGAACTTACTCAAAGCCAAACCTTCCATGATGCTCAAAGCAAGGCAAGAGCATGTTGGTACTTCTGAATCAAATCACCTACTGGTTTAAATATGTACCTCCTCTCCTTTCAGTGAATCACTGATACGGTTAATTTACAGCAGCTGCCTGCAAAACCATGATCCGAAAACCCCATCATCACCTGCCTCCCTAAGCATGCCTCCTAAATAGGCATTCACACCCCCAATCCGTTTATCAGCCACATCCGACCAGGGGGCAAACATAACAAATGGGTCTTCGCACCTGACCATTCACTACCATAGCACACATTCTGCCTCCTTTCTGCTTCACACAAGAGTGCTAGTAACTGCTGAGTACTCCACACCATTTGCCTTGCTTCTTACCTCTGGGCGGCAGTTTTGGACATGAAGATTTGTTCTTCCAGTGCCCCATCCACTCAAATGATTAATACCACTTTACTTTCATGTGGAATAGCACTCAGTACACCTTTACTCATTTACCTCAATATTATCCCTGTAGTCATACCTTTACTCATGGTTTCTTAGCCTTATGTGAAATTTTTTCTACTCCTGATCTCTCTTGCTACCAGTATACCAACAATATTCTCCTAGGAAGACCGACACATGAATCTGTTGCACAAGATACTACCTTAATTTCAGCCCTGAAAGAACACAGAGATCTTTCTATTCCTCCATGTAAATGCCAGGGTCCTGCCCAGGATGTATGAGTCTCCTTATATGCTGGTACCAAAAGTATTTCCGAAATCTTTCTGCAATCTGCTTTGTGATTACTTATCCCTTCTCCAAACACCACGTCCAGAGATTCTAGGCACTTTATAAGTTACAGCACGCCCATGGTTTTAGTCAACTAGTCCATGCTCTGTCACTCCTTGCTGCAAAAACATTTCACCTGGGACTGAAGAACAAGTAATTAACAGGTCTATACCCTTCTCCTAATAAGCATTCAACAGTATGATTATTTAGGACTGCTCACCCCTACTGGTAGATTGGCACTCAGGGTCCTGTAGAATGGAGATGATGCCTGTTAGAGGCTGTCCCAGGTATAAAGTTCCAAAGACCCTACCCCTAAATCATTCCATTTTGGTAGCAAGGGGTGGCAAGATGCACAAGCCTTGTATTATGGGGTGTGCGTTATTCGCTGCCTTTTCTGACATTGACAAACTTTTGGGGGATTGTCCCTTTACACAGTTTTACATCCTATTCTTCATGGCATCCTTCACAACACTCCTTTCCCTGAAGGATGAAGTCAATCCACTACAACTCAACACTGGATTCTTGGTATCCCTGTCATCACTGATGAAGCCCAATCTTCAGGCCCCCAACATTGTATTCTCACCCACCTCACCTTTACCATTCCTGTAGGTACCAAGGATCACTTAGATTTGACTATACGTCCGTCCTTTTACCATCCCTCACGAAGGTGCCTGGTTTTACTGCACAGTACTTAAAGCAGCATCCAAGCACCATTCACACAAAGAAAAACTGGCACAGAGAGGAAGCAGAGGTGGGATGTCGAAACTGGTTAGCAAGTCCAGACAGTAGTTCCACAACTCAACTACAAAAGAGGACAGTCTGACTAGGAACTCGGGACTACCCATGCCCATCAGCTGGTTCAAGTTGTTCATCAGAAGTTACGCTTTGCTTCCTGTCAGTCTGCCTGATAACCATGGTCAAATAGGTCACTGTGTGCCCTGACACTAAATTGGGCCTGGTATTACTGTATTACCAAATCCGAATCACTGTCACGTCAGTGATAACTGTACTACTAATTTGTATTTGTCACACTACCATTATTCTGAGATAAACTGTTTATCCCTAAAGCTGTTGGTCTGATGTTTCCTACTGTATCTCCAAACTATAAATTACCCAGGCCAGTTTGAGTCCCTAAAATTGTTTCTACTTCTGAAAATCATTAAGGCTTTTCAGATTAAAGTAGACTAATCAAGCATTTCAAAAACATTATGCAACAATAATTTCCCAGCAATAGCCATGGAAAACTCTGGATACACACAGAAATGAAACAGAAAAGTTTCATTACTGTAGCGTAATGCTATCAACAATGCTACATGGACCAGAGATTTGCCAACAGAAACAGTAAATATCAGCTACTTATCCTTTGATTTGTGAGATCAGGCAGTTGCCTTCCAAACATCAAGTCAAGTACTTGGGTATACCCTTTAACTTAATTTTAAAACCTAACATAGAGAGTGCCAGGTAAAACTAATCTCAGTCTGTTAAAACAAAACGACTCACAGGCCACTGTTCTTCTGTTGGAGTGCCCAATGTTTCAAATATCTTTGTCAGTTGATCAAGATCAGAGTCCCCAGGCAAAAAAGGAACCTGGAAGAAGGCAAAAGCATTTGATTAAATTAACTTCTGAAGTTCAATTCTAGAGAGGAGCTTTGAGCTATCCCTCTAAATTGCAGGGCAAAACATCTTTGTATATCAGCTGCTGACAATGAGGCTTTCTAGTGATGTCCAAATAGATTCTGCGTGTTTCTTACAACCCAGGCTTGAGATCTTGGACTCAACAGCAGACAGCTAAACCATCACCATTTGAATGCAAAATAAACAAACTCAGGAAAGATTTTACATCTCAGTTGCCAGTTTAAAGTCAGCTGGTCACAATGGTCCTTTCCATCATCTGGTCTCTGAAGTTAGGTTTGATATATATTCAAAATATTAGAAGAAAATTGTAGCTGGATTACAGAAGCAGCAGTCAAGACTGCACGGTCCCTCAACTCAGTATACTCAGAAAGAAAAAAGACAGATTCATCAGTGTGATATTTTGAAATGTAACTAAACCATAACACATTTTCTGCTTTGTGAAAAACCAATAAATCAAAAGAATTCAATGATTTTATTTGCTTTCTGACATTCCTTGAGATTATTCAACTTTAGCAGGTCTACCGCATATTTAAGTGCGCATAACTAGTGCTGCTTAAAAAGCCACTGTGCATTTCCATTTCTGAACCTCCAACCAGATTGTATCAGCGCACTCGTTTGCATGATAAACCAAGACAAAATATTTCTTTCAAGGTGTTTTCAGACAGAACAGTTCCCCAATGGTTCATCACATGGCTGCACAAACATTCAAAATACAGTGCAAAATCCAAGCAGAAGCCACTTACTCATGGAAGATGCAGTGCAGGCTACTTAACGTTTTCAGCTGTGTTTATGCCCCTATTCTCCACTTCCCCACCTCACACCCACTCCAAATAGTTGCATAATAAATGGTCTGTTTCAGTAAAACATACATAAGAACTACTGATGTTAACCTTCAATTCCATTTCAGTACTGTCAACCAATCACAGCTTAGAAAAACAGCAAGTCTTCTGCTCATTATGAATAAACCCGCAACTAAGGTACTGGTGATATTTATTTACTTATTGAGGAATGATGTATAAGGGACAAAGTATGCATGTATCTACGATGTCACATTTCTTGAAGGATAGCAAATGAGAACTGGCAGAAGACTGTGTAAAAGGACAACACTCACAAGGACTGGAAGGGATGTCTACTCAACCTTCCTCTCAGGGCAGGGCTCTTTGTTGCAGTAATTTTACCTGACTGTTTTTAAAGAAGTCCAATGACGGCAATGCTTACAGAATCTCAATCTATTCCAAAACTTCACTTTCCTTACAATTTTGGAAGCTTTTCTCCCCCTCTTCTTCTTCCTTTCCTAAACAGCTGCCTTTGCCTGCTGCTGTTAGAAAGAAAGAGGAAGCTCACATACAAAGTTGTAATGCACTGAAGAGCAAACACAAAATGCTTACATTTTGAGACCTACCCTGAGAAGCAGTTCAGCTAAAATACAACCAACAGCCCACATATCAACACCGACACCATACATTCTAGCACCAAACAATAGTTCTGGAGCTCGGTACCACCTGAAAAAGAAAACACATTTTTGGAAAATCACTTGGCTTTGATCATGTCAAATGCTGTCTATCGTAGCAATACAAGAACCACAAAGAGGATACTGCTCCTGCCTCTGTATTTTTCAAACTCTGAAGAGGTATACTGCACCCTCCAAAATGTTTTGTTTAATGAACAAAACTCTGCATTCCTCACCATGGGGTCACATATAACCACAAATGAACTAATTTCAGTCGAGCTGAACAGACCTGCAGATGTGTAAAGAGCAAAAAGTATTTAACAGGCAGGATTGCATGTTATAAACCAAAATTTTCTTTAAACTTTATGTTGAAGCAATGTCAGGACAGAATTCCTTCCAGCTTCCACAAGTCCCCATACAAACAGACCTAAGTATAGAGACTAGTTTTATTCAAAGTGAATCTTTACAACAGTTTTTTTTTAAAAACAGCTGCTTCCATTGCCTAAGAATGATCAAATGTAATGCAATGATCTGACACACGCTGCGTTTAAAACTACCGTAGCACTTCCTTTTGAATAAAGGTATTAAAATAAACCAGCTTTGCCTTAATAGTTTTAGCATAACATCAGACAAAAGGAAGTACCTTGTGCTCTTTGC